TTGGGTGTGAAAACACAGCGTGGGAAAGGTGGTGCCTTGGGCAACAAGTAGTAGTGTGTTAAGGTTTTTGCAGACTTGAATGGGTTGTGTTAGTCGAAAGAGAGAAACCGTCAATGATTTGAAATGGGTGAGTTGTATTGTATGCTATTGTTCCCTCCATTTTCCCAGAACGTAATGGAAATATTATATTCTATTTCTATATCAACCATCCGCGCTTATCACACGCCTTATCCCTGAAAGGAGTCAAACGACGTCGTAGACCTAACATCTTACTTATTTGGCCCAAGCTTTTCTTCCCTATTTTTGCCTTTCAAATAGCCCTTTTAAGAATATATTCACAATATTCAATCTGTTTGTTTAAATTTTTTTAAAATATCAAATATTTCTTTTAGAAAGTAATTTTTAAATAAATATTTTTAAAGAATAAAAACTAATTCATTGAAATAAGTAATTTAGAATAGAGTTTAAAAAACGAGTTGGGTTTAGGGATTGGCCTGTCTAACCTACAAAAATAGGGATAAGGTCACTTGTTAAGTCTACCATTCTGTTGTAACTCGTTCTATCCATCTTACTAACTTAGCGTGACAATGAAATAATTTGCTATAGACCACTTTTATTTTCTACATATAAATATGTAATGCACAATATATTAATGTGTAAAATCAATCATTGAAAAGGCAATGTTTGCTAAATACCTAAAAGTTAGTCTAATATTAGGAAGAAAACCTTAATTATAATAGATTATACATTTAAAGTTTTAAAATACAGTTATTTTTTTTTCCCTAAGTAATTAGATAAGAAAATTTTCTTTTAGGCTAATCACTGTAAATCAACTACTATATATAAAATCATGAGCGATTATTTTATGTGAAATTTATTTTTAGGAGTTTGTTTTTGCCAAAAGAATTTTTAGATATTTGGTTAACTTCATACATAATTCAATTTTTATTTATCATAATTAATTATGAATTAAATTTTAATATTTTAAAAAAATTATCAATAAATAAAAATAATATTATACTATAATATAAATTATATATCATACATATAAAATAAATTTATATATTTTTTCAAATTTTAAATATAATTTATATATTCAAATATAATATTTATTTATATACATATTTAATTTAATTTTTTAGTTATATATAATAAACATTTAACTTGTATATTACATATGCTAAAATATTAGTTATTAATATGTTTTAGAGGCTAAAATACTCTTTTAGTCCATATAATTTTATTGACTTTATCTTTTAGCTTCTATAGTTTAAAATATACAATTTTAGTCCTATATTTTTTTTAAAATATTTTTAGTCCATATAATTTAAGATGAATCTTTTTAGTTCCTATATTTATAGTTTTGTAATCCTTGTAGTTAGGATCGTGTTTAAAAAAATTTAGACCTAAGAAAAGTTTTTTATTTAATTTTTACTCTAATTTAAATAAATAATTTTTATTTTTATTTTTTTTATATTTTTTTATTTTTATTTTTATTAATAAAATTATTAATTAGAATTAATAATTAAGAATTTTCAACACCTCATACAATATGATAACTCATTTAATCACCATTTTGTAGCATATTCTGTAAACATATATTGCACACATTTAAGAAATTAATTTTTTAATATATTTAATACTTTTAATGAAATACTAATTTGTTTTAATTTGTTAGTGATTTTTAAAATTTTCAAATTAGTAAAAAAAAAATTATGATCACTTATATAAAATTAATATATTTTTTTTTTCAAAATCATACTTATTAAAATTTAAATATATTTCTTAAAGTGATTTCATATTTTAAAATCCTTTTCTAATATGGTGTGGATAAAGTAAAATAAAATAACTTAGTATTTATACAAAATAATTTATTATTATTATTATTTAAAATTAATATTTATACGTACTAATCCAAACAATTTTAGGAGATAGAAATAATAATAGTTTTCTTGTACGTATCCACTCTTTCAATGAAACTCTTCTTTGTTGTAAAAACAAAAAAAAATTCTTGTAGCGTTAATTTGCATCCTCTGTTGAAGACCATTGGAATTTTTCTCTTCCCTCGCCATAAACCTTATATATATATATATATAATGATATAATATAATATTAAAAATTATTTGTACACATGTTCAGAAGAATTTTTGAAAATTTTTTTGTTAAAAAATATTCTTTATTTCTAATTAAAAAAAAAAAAAAAAAACTCTCAACCATGTTGTAGCTGTATCCGACCTCTCTCTCGTGTCGTAAAATAGAAAACCTTTATAAGATCGAATATGGAAAAATGCAACAGTGTATTATCACAATTATTGAACGTAAATATTATGCAACAGTATAGTCTTGTTTTAATTCCTGATTATTTAATATAACGGAGTTTCTGCGAGCAAGGCACAATTGCAGGAAGCAAAATCATGGACCCGTAAAATTCACTAGTCATTGGTGAATGTTATACAAAGAATACTAACAAAATGAATAGAAATATATTCTTGCCAAGAATAAAAAAAAAAAAAAAACAAAAAACAAAGAGAAGACATTTGATCTTTGTATTACTAATCTTCCATGCATCACACAGGAACTCTAGGGGTAATAATAACAAACAAACAAATTCAACAAATCATGGTAAACCCTAAACTAGTTAATAACATGCTTCCATTCCCATGTCTATATCCATCCCTATGCCTATACCTGCATTAAGAAAAGGAAAAACGAGGACATTATTATTCGAGTTAAATATTTATATATAGCTATAGCCAAAGGGACGAGAATATTAATTAATTATTTAAAGCAAATTAAGGAGATAAAAAGTGTGCAATTATATATTATTTGCAGATGATTTAGGGTTAGTATTAGTAGTAGTACCTTTTACGAGATCATGATGATCTATTCTTGGGATAAAAGATCTCCTTCGCAGTTGGAGGCTTCTTAACCCTGGAGCTTGAAGAGGTTGAGCTACTTCCACATGGTGGAGTCTTAGTGGGAAGAAGAACCCTTTGAACATTGAGGTTGCTGGAACTCATGTTGCACACAACTTTTGGCAAATCGAAACCAAATTTTCCTTAGGTATTACTAATTGTTATTGGATATGCTACAATCTCAAATACACACCTAAGAGGTATATTTATATTGATTGATTTAAACCAGAAAACGCGTTTTAATTCGTGGCCACATTTAAATCAATTAATAAGAGGGTCTTACCAAGCAATGCAATGGTAATGGCCAGGGAAATTTCAATTTCATTTTTCCATTATATTGTGAAACAAATAATAAAATGGCCTATTTTGGTAAGCAAGATAAACATAAATTGGTGACTGAACCGTGTAGAGTTTCTTCGTGCCGTGCATTTGGGTTATATTAGACTGTGAATTTACACAAGTTTTCGACGAACATGCATGCATAATATGTATCCTCACGGCTCACGCGGCTTTGATTTGTTGTGCCATGAATGAGAAGAGGGTAGTTAATTAATGTTTGAATTATGTCAACGGTTTCTTTGTTAAAAGAACGTTTGTCATACGTCACGTCCTGACTCTCTTTTCGAGGCTATTCAGATGAAGCCCTCATTCCTTAACTAAACCCAAAATATTTTATGATTAATTTGATTTCATAGTCGAGATAAATATTAGTTTTAATATGTTTCGTCAGTCAAATCTATATTATTTTGAGATTTTTTTTTAAAAAAAAAGGGTTTTATTAGGATATATTCTCTTATATGTGTTTTGATATTTTATATAAATTAAAATGATCAATTTTCATATAATATAATTCGATTCTTCATTTTTTTTTAATTACAAATTAATAGACTCGAACAAATTACAATTATCAGGTTTTAGTTTTTAAAAACTTAAGTTTTTATTTTATTTAGGGCTCTAAATCAATTTAATTTGATAGTTGTAATGGTAGTGTTGATGATAATGGGAGTGCTAGTGACAATAGTAATTAGTGGTAATGAAAGAATCATTGTTAAATAATGTGAAAATATATTTAAAAAAAAAAACTAAACCCTAAATTCATAAATATTGTTTTCTCAATTTAGATAATGAATGTAAAATATTTTAAAAAAATTAATTAAAAAAATTTATTAATGTAAGACTAAATTTTAAAACATTGTTGCGAAAGAAAAAAAATATTTTATTTTAAAAAATTACATTTCAGAATAAAAAAAATCTCTTAACCATTTGAAGTTACCCTAAGGACCCGTTTCGGGTGGTTCAGGTTGCAAGTTTTTTATTTTTAAATGCAATTTTTAAAGCAAAACATGTTTAATAAAAATGCTTCTGAAATGGTTTTTAAATTAATTTAACATGTTTATACTTTTATTTTCAAAAAATAAATAGAATTGCAAATTTTTGTTTTTAGTGTTGTTATATATATTATGCTATATATATTAGACAATAATCCTTCCTTTGTTACCATTAACACTCACATTACCACCGCCACTAACACCGCACAAACAAATTATAAAATTAATTTTAATAAGATAGAATTTGATTTTATTTTAAACCTAAAAAAAATTGTAAAAAAAAAAACTAAAATCTAGTTGTAGTTTCTATTTTTTTTTTTTAACTTACAGCTAATTAAAAATCGCTCCAAACCTAGCTTTTGGATTTTAACTGGCCTTACACGCCAAATTAAATAGTTCTATCCTTTTCGTTGACTAGAAAGAAAATTTTTTTAAAAAAAAGAAACAATCTTTTTATCATTTATTTTTTCTTCTAGACTACTTTCCTCACGCTTCTGTTATCTTATTGACTAATTAATTCAACAAGAGATATGACAAAAATTAACTAGCAGAGTTATTAGTAATTAATTAAGAGGGATTCTTTCTTTCACACATAGTCATCACTATATTAAGGATGTGAAGGTAATTACGTAGCGTAAAAACAATAAAAAAATAATTAAGGACGTGAACTTGAGACAGGAAACAAACTAAATATTTGAATCCGAGATATAGAAGACATTGATTTTTACCTTGTCAATAACTCAATCACGATCTCAGGTTAAGGAACAAAAAAACATTAACTTCATTTCAAATTCTGTATACCACTTTATTGCTCAACATTTTGATGAGTAGTACTATAGCTAGCACAAATAAAAAAATAAATAATAGCACAGTATTCCCTACATAAATAGAGATTATAAACTGTGCAACTTTAATCCCCATTATTGGAAGCATGACATATAGGAACCCTAAGTACAGGAACAAGGAAAATAACAAATATAAAGTAACGAAAAGTGACTATTTGGTATAAATGCTTCTGTTCTTTTTAGTATTAATGCTTCCAATATTGGCCCTTCCACGTAAACCTGCATTAAACAAAATAAGCAACACTCTCAAACAAATATATACGAACCAATTAATTTATAGCAAAACATACATGATACATGTATTTAATTTTAATTTTTTTAATATAAATATAATATTATAACGAAATATTCATTACTTAAAAGATATATGATACTTATTTTTGAAACATAGCAAATAAAAAAGGCTAGATTTTTCCTTATTATCATATATAAAGAGTACCTTTTCATTTGAAATCATCTATTCTTGGGATAAAATATATCCTTCGCGGTTGGGGCCTTCTTACCCCCAGAGCTTGAAGAATTTGAACTAGTGCCATTTGGAGGGGGCCTTGTAGGACAAATGGACTTTTGAATGTTGGGGTTCTTGGAGCTCATTTTAATCAAGGGTCTTTAGAAAGGCAAAGACAAAGGTTTGTTAAGGAAATGACTTGTTTCACGGTTATGAAATTGGCATACTACTTCCAATACCCTCAAAGAGGTATTTATAGTGAAAAGTTGAAGCCATTCACTCTTTGGCTAACTTAAATAAGCTTGGAACTTACCGAGTAATTTGAGAGTAATTAATAGGGAATTATATTGTCGATTACCACATATAATTAATTCTATAATTATACTTGAACTTACCGGTTGTCCAATAGATAATTAATTCTTTTTGGTATAATTAATTATTTCAAAAGCTTAAACTATCAAGTAAACATAAAAATAGTTATATGATTTTCAGTTCAACAAATAAAGATCTAAATCAAATTATAATTAAATTTTGATTAATCACTAAATGGATAATAATGTTTAATTTAAGGATTTTTAGTATGTTATTGATTTTCTGTTCAATAATCTTAGGGTATCATTCCCTATTTACTAATTTACTCATAAAATTTATATATATATAT